GCTGCTGCTGCTGCTGCTGCAGAGGCCTCATTCAATGATCCTAACCACTGCCGACTTGCATGCATTTATTTTTGTTGTTTTTTTTTTTTTATTTATTTTTTTATTTATTTATAAATTATTTATTTATTTATTTATATTTTTTATATTTATTTTATATTTATTTAATTATTTCTGCTGCTGCTTCTGCTGCTGTTTAGACCATTTAAATTATTTATTATTTTTTTATTATTTATAAATATATTTAATTATTTTTGTAAGTTTATTCTCCCTTAATAAATAAATAAATAAATTAAATAAATTAAATAAATAAATAAATAAATAATTCCTTATTTATTTGCGGTGTATCCTCAGCTCCTGCTGCTGCTGCTGCTGCTCCTGCTGCTCGAGCTGCTGAAGAAGGAGAAGCAGAAACAACAAATGATGAAGACGTGAGTAATTTTATTTATTTATTTATTTTATATAAATAAATTAAATAAATAAATAAATAAATAAATAAATAAATAAATAAATAAATTATTTAATTTATTTTCTTTTTTTTTCTCCTTTTTATGAATTTTTTTGGTGTATTTTACCTCTTTTTTTCTGCTTTTTTTTTAATTAAATAAATAAATAAATAAATAAATAAATAAATAAATAAATAAATAAATAAATAAATAATGTGTATACAGGCGGATATATCTGAATATATATCATTAATAGATTCATCTTCTTCTCCTCCTTCTTCCTTACAAGGAATAATAGATAATTATTGTGTATATAAAAGTAATAAATTATGCAAAAAAGGAGAGAATTTTTTATGTATTACCCCCTTATTATATGCAAGATATACACAAATAAATAAGGAAATAAATAAGGAAATAAATATAAATAATAATTTAAATTAAATAAATAAATAAATAAATAATTCCTTATTTATTTGCGGTGTATCCTCAGCTCCTGCTGCTGCTGCTGCTGCTCCTGCTGCTCCTGCTGCTGAAGAAGGAGAAGCAGAAACAACAAATGATGAAGACGTGAGTAATTTTATTTATTTATTTATTTTATATAAATAAATTAAATAAATAAATAAATAAATAAATAAATAAATAAATAAATAAATTATTTAATTTATTTTCTTTTTTTTTCTCCTTTTTATGAATTTTTTTGGTGTATTTTACCTCTTTTTTTCTGCTTTTTTTTTAATTAAATAAATAAATAAATAAATAAATAAATAAATAAATAAATAAATAAATAAATAAATAATGTGTATACAGGCGGATATATCTGAATATATATCATTAATAGATTCATCTTCTTCTCCTCCTTCTTCCTTACAAGGAATAATAGATAATTATTGTGTATATAAAAGTAATAAATTATGCAAAAAAGGAGAGAATTTTTTATGTATTACCCCCTTATTATATGCAAGATATACAGTTTATTTATTCCTTTATTTATTC